AATGTGACAAGTTTAAATGGCATTCAAGTAGCTTTTCAAGGAAAATGTCACTCTGTTTTCTTACTAATGCTTGAGCAAGTGCCTTGCCTATTGTCAAGCTGTTAATTCGCTATTATTAAGTACTCAGGAGCTTCTTTCTTGAAAGCGCTGTCAGTTATCCTTCCAGAATGGGTGAGCTTTAGAAACCTGGGGATGTGTCAGGTGTTCTACAGTCCCTTTCAACTGGCTGGAAATTCACATTTAAAAAAAAAAAAAAAAGACAGGAGAATTTCTGTAGCTTGCTCTTCCTTTGTCAAACCTGTAAAAATGCACATTTGGGAAGTGATGGAGGAGAGGCATACAGAGTAAAAAAATTTTTTTTAAAAAAGCAGCCGTAGCGTTTGTTTGTACCCATAATGCACATTTGGGAAGCATCTTCCAGAATAGGTTTGAGCGACAGTTTCCTAAATTGCTGGAAATTAAAAGAATGCAAAACCCTGGCTTATTTTTAGCATTTGCTCCCAACTTGCAATATCAGTCCAAGTTTTTTTTTTTAAAAAAAACACCTTAATATTGCTCAACTTTGGTAAAGGAGAATATTGGTAGCTCAGGGTTGCAATGAAGGGTCTTTGGTGCTCTCCGAACTTGGTTGTTTTTCTTGCAGACATTTCATTACCAAACTAAGTAACATCATCAGTTCAGAAACCACCAAGGACCCCTCATTGCTCATGTTCTCTTCTCTTTGTACAAATAACATTAAAGAAGCGGGACGTGATGGCCCTTAAAATTCTTGAGCTTTCAGGATTCGGCTATGAAATTCTTATCTGTAAGAGGTATGCCTTGGCTCAGGGGTCTGTGGGTTTAACAGATCAACAGAGTTGGAAGGGACCTTGTAGGTCATCTAGTCCAACCCCCCATCCAAGCAGGAGACCCTACACCATTTCTGACAGATGGCAGTCCAGTCTCTTCTTGAAAGCTTCCAGGGATGAAGCTCCCACAACTTCTGAAGGCAACTTCTGTTCCATGGGTTGATTGTTCTCACTGTCAGGAAATGTCTCCTTATTTCCAGATTGAATCTATCCTTGTTCAGTATTCCTTGTCTGGCCTACAGGCACTTTAGAAAATAGCTTGACCCCCTTCCTCCTCTCTGTGGCAGCCCCTCAAATATTGGAAGACTGTTATCATGTCTCCCCTGGTCCTTCTCTTCACTAGACTAGCCAAGCCCAGTTCCTGTAACCGTTCTTCATATGTTAGTCTCCAGTCCCCTAATCATCTTACACACACTATATCATAGCTATTGTAGTTCAATGCAACAACAGCTGAATCACATGACTGTACTGACCCACAATGTCACTTGATCACACTGGTGAGTCCACACTTGGAATGCTGCATCGAGTTCTGGTCACCAGAATACAGGAGAGATGTTGAAATTGTACAAAGTGTGCAGAGAAGAGCAACAAAGATGATAAAGGGTCTGGAGGCTAAATTATATGATAAACGGTTGAGGAAACCAGGTAAGTTCTAGTCTAGCCTAACAAAGAGAAGGACTAGACATTGTAACTGTCTAGGCATTGTCACAGAGAAGAGAGAATGGACTTGATATCCCAAAGCACCTGAGGGCAAAGCAAGAAGTTACAGATGGAAGCTAATCCAAGAGAGATCCAACCCAGATGTCAACTCGTAAAGCATTCCTGACTTGCTCTTGAGTTGCCATAAGGAGTGGGGGAGACCTGATGGAGCAGTGTTAGGAATGTAAGTCACCTAACAGGTATTTGGGTTGGAAATATATAAACCAGGATAGACATTTTAATACTGCCTCTTTAAGAGAATCCTAAAAGTGGAATTGGGTGTGGTTTTCTCAAACAGCCATAAGATGGAGCCAGAAACCTGGGTGGTTTGGTCTTAGTCTCAGAAGAGAGTGTGAGTGAGTCTGTTTCCTTCTGTTGGACAGTAATTGCCGTTCCTCATTTTTTCCTCCTCATTGACTGCTATTTTTGGATTTGATGTAAGTCTGATACTGAACTGTTTTTGACACTGGACTTTGTTATTGGATTATCCCTGGATTGAAAACTGACTGATCTTACCTGTGAATGACTTTGGACTGCTTATCTTGAACTTTGCTTAAACGTTTCTGGAAGTAAAAACCTACATTTACTGTACAGTGTATCTGTGTGCTGTGTGTATATTATTCAAACACTACTCTCAAATACGTCTCCCTGTATGCACTCAGTCTCCTAACAGGGAATTATCTCAACAAGCAGTTTGTCGCTATGATCAGAAGCACATTCCACGCATACCTTTCTCCAAATTGTGTCTCAAGTTACCAAGCCCAGCCGAAGAGGCAGGTTTTCCACAGCCGGTGAAAGTGCTTAGTTGGAGAATGTGATTTATGACACACCTTGGGAGGAGGGGAGAAACAGGGTCATAGGTCAACAGTAAATTACGTAGGGCAGAGCCGACTGCACTTGGGAAAAGACATGTTGCTCCTAATAAATAATTGGATCTCTCTTGCAACTTGGCTCTAGGCTCATGAATGAAATAGGGCATCCGTCATCGAAACCCGGATGCTAGAATTCAGGAGAAATTTTCTGACAATGAGAACGATTAACCAGTAGAATAGCTTGGCTCCAGAAGTTGTGGGTGATCCATCACTGGAGGTTTCCAAGAAGAGACTGGGCAACTATTTGACTGGGATGGTGTAAAGCTCTTGCTTTGAGTAGTGGTTTGGACTAGAAGACCTTGAGTTTCCTTCCAGCCCTATGATTCTATGTTCTACCTGGAAAAATAATGTTATTTCTTCCTGATTCAAGGTTGGAGGGTCTCTAAATTCCAGTCCCAGCTGGTACTGGTGGACCTGCATCTGGTAAGGTGTGTCCTTACCTTGGTTTACTCCTAGTTGGGTGTCCAGGTGCATCCCAGAAACAATTCCTGAAGACCTCCTATTCATCTCACAGGGACCTTTGGAAGAAAACAGATTTTTGAGTCGGGATATTAACCAGTAGAAAGGACACCATTTATTTTTCCTAGTCTAGGCACCAAAATGGCTTCATCATTTATTACTGGCCTGCGGGCTTAAACGCATTCTCCTTCCAGCCTCAACAGAAATAAAAAATGCATCCAGAATATTGTTTGAATGAAGGCATTATTTCTATTTAATCTGGGTGTTGTTGTTGTTCTGGAATCTATATCCTTTTTTGTACATGTTTTTCTGGAATATCTACCTAGTACTATAGTTACTTTCTTTCCAAAAAGTACTGCATGGGTTAATCACAACACATTTGCTTTAAAATACAACTGAAAACCGTTTCTTCTATAAGAAGAGGTCAGGTGCTGTTGCTACTTTCAGCAGCTCCCATGCCTTTAAATGTAACATTTCTTACTTATTGTGATAGCCTCCGTATACGTGTCTGTCTGTCCTTCCTTCCATGCATCCGTCCTTCCATCCATCCGTCCGTCCATCCATCCATCTCTCCAGGCCTGGTCAAAGAGATAATGAAACTGTTGTAGGAATTGTGGACAGTTGGTTTTGGATTAAAATTCCAAAGAATAAGTTCCAGGAATAAACATTTCTGATTCATGAATGCAGGGCGGGGGGGAACGAGCTGAAAACAGACAAACAATGCGGGGGGGGGGGGGAGGCATTCAGGAAGCTTTATTCATTGTGACAAGAATGAAAGTTCAGATTAGCAAGTTCCTTTCTCCCCTCGGCACACACAAACACAAAAGAATATGGAAGCAATTATGCACTCTGAAGATTTAAAAAAAAAA